AGGTATTTACAGTGAACATATCATAGTGGGGGTGGCCAGGGCAGAGCCCTGCTCCCCCAGTGCACCCCCCACGGGGGCCAGGGCAGCCAGGCTAAGCACCTGCCACCAGCTCACTCTGGCCCCTCAGGTGGCCATGGCTGAGACAGGGCCAGTGTGCCTGGAAGCAGCCATCTCCCAGATCCCCCTCAGGTTCTCAGATGTTGCCATCTCCTGGGACAGGCTCAGGGGAGGCCAGAAGGACCCAGCAGGGCCAGGGCACAGGCAGGGACAAGCCCTGGGCACAGTTCATCCTGGCAGGGACTATGTGGAGACACTGATGCGCTGCGGGGCACGTCGTCGCCGCACGATGCGCAGCCCTGTGCTGCTGCGCTGGTTCTGGGAGGAGCTGTGGAGGCAGAAGGGGCTCAGCAGCAGCCACAGGTAGAGCAGGACACAGGCCCAGCACGAGGACACCTTCACCCAGAAGGTCGACCAGCTGCCATGCGTGAAGGTGGTCTCCAGCTCCGCGTCCTCATAGCTGGTGGAAGAAGGCAGGCATTGGGTGCCTGAGGAATGCCAACACGAGGATCCCAGTACCAGCTGCAGCCACTTGGCCCTGGACACATCCCCCTACTACGGACTCTCCAGCCCCACAGACCCCAGCCATTCTTTCTGCCAGGTGGCTGCCAATGGCCGGAGCAATGCAGGTAGGTCTGTGGGCACAGAACCCTCTGTTTCCCCAGCAGGGACCAGCTCCAATGACACTGTCATGGCCTGGAGCAGAGAGCTGGAGCCAGAGCAGGAAGGGCTGGGCAGCAGTGCAGGGCCCTACCTGAACCAGTTGGTGAGGGTCATCATGACATAGAGTGAGGCAAGGAAGAAGACAAAGTGGAAGGCGGAGTAGCTGTAGGCCACCCGTTCCTGCTCATCCTGGACAATGAACTGCATCCTGGTGCTCTCCTCTACTTGCTCACACGTCTGTTTGGTGCCCGGGACAGCGTGGGGGCATGGCGGCTTCTGCACTCCCACCTTGCTGGCATCCCCGGACTGGGACGCAAGCTCTGCCTGTTCTGCACCCACCCTGCCTGTGCCTCTCAGCTCCTCCTCCATCTTCTCAGGGCAGCAGAAGCAACAGGAGGGGTTCTGCAGGGAGAGCAGAGTGGTGGCTGCCTGGCCCTGTGGCCACCGTGGCTGGCCTGGCACCAAGGCAGGTGGGGATGTGCCATGGGCAACCTCCCATGTGTGGCTGGACCGACCTGCCCCGCGGTGGGGCTGGAACAGGGGCTCGGGGTGACAGGTCTAAGGTGCCCATGGTAGGAGGACACAGGGTACAGCTGCATCATACTTACTTTAAACTCAAATTTGTAGACTTTGACCATCCAGAGGGGCCCGAAGATCTCAGCGAGGTAGGAGGCTTCATTGCTGTGCCCAGGAGAGAGGCAGAAATCATTTACACAGGCACTCAGCACCCTGCGTCAGGCCCCCAGCCTACTCCATGGATTCCCACAGCCGCAGGAGCCCTGCTGTGCCATGCCTGCCCCTGTCTACCCACCAGTGCCCCATCTGCTGTGGCCCTGCCACCCCTTGGGACATCCCTGGCTCTGCTGGCCACGGGGATGGGATGCCGGTGTGGGGCTGGCCGTGCTCAGCGGGACCAGTGCTGCAGGGGCCCTGCCTGCCCCATGCCACAGCACACGCACCATGCAAAAAGCACGCAGGCATACATGATGGCAGCACCCAGCACAGCCACACTGGTGTCCTCCTTCTGTAGCTCGTCCTGCCGGAGCCCCGGGAAGCACACAGTCAGGTTCTGCCCCTTGTAGAGCACTGTGGGAAGGCAGAGGTCAGATAGGTGCACACCGTGGTGGGGGCTACCAGCAGCAGGCGGGGACACCCACCCACCTCTCTCCGGGGGACGGCTAGACAGTGCAGAGAAGGTGAGGTACATCACATAGCAGCTGATGATTGAAGATTGCAGCAGCCCAGACCGCGGCTGCTCTGCAAGGGTGGGAACAGAGATGTCACCAGAGTTCCCAGAGTGCCATGAGCCCCCATGTAGGCTCTACGTAGGACCTGGGAGCCCGTTCCTGCCATCCCCCTGCCCAAGACCCTGTGCCAAGGTACAGAAGGGGCTGGTAGGAGCCCTGAGGAGATGGGTTCTCCTCCAGTGCCTGAGTGCTGGCCCTGTGCTGGGGGCCACATTCATGCCCTAGCCCAGAATACGGCTGGCCATGCAGCGTGGCAGCTTATGCCAGGCTGTGTGGTACTCACTGAGCAGCACGCAGGGTGTGATGGAGATGAAGGACATGATGCCGCAAAGGCTGCCGTTGACAGCAAGTAGCATCTTATTGAGGAGGCAGGCGGCTGGGTGGGTGTAGAACTTGTAGAGGAAGAAAAAGGCGGTGGAGGCGAGGGTGTAGAAGGCAGCCGTGACCAGCAGCACAGCCAGGTACCAGCGCTTGTCCTGTGCAGCACCCGTCAGCCTGCAGGAGAGCGGGTGAGCCACTGCCGCAAGCAGAAGCCCGCCCTGCACCCCAACACTCACCAGTTCTTGTTCCAGGTGTGCGCGAAGGCAGTGATCAGCACCAGCTGGATGAGGATGAAGCAGAAGCCGCCGCAGACACCCGTGTAGTGCCAAGCTGGGGGGAGAGGGCAGAGGTGGGGATGGCACAGGGCAGGTAGGAGCTGCAGGCGAACCCAAGGTGCCAGCCCAGGTGGAGTGGGGGATGCACCTCGGATGAAGTTCTCCTCAGGGATGAAGAAACTGGCAGTCCAGAGCCCCACCAGTGTCAGCAGCTTCAGGAGCCAGAACCTGTGGGGCAGTGATCATCAGTGGGAAGGAGCCCTGGCAGCCTCATCCCAAGGCACCCTGTCCCAGCCCCGTGCCCATACCCATTGTGGAGCTGTGCACGGCAGTCAGAACTGGAGCGCACGTTGAGCAGCAGAGCAGCCTGTGCCAGGTGGAAGCAGGCAGTGCCAAAACAGATCCGATACACAGCTGAGGAGCCCACCAGCCGCTCGCAGTCTGTGCCCCCAGACAGGTGTTGGCACACTGCCACAGAGAAGGGCACCTGCAGGCATGGTGAGTGATGGGACAGGGCTGATGGTGTGTCTGCCCAGCACCCAGTGCCCACGGACTCCAGCACCCCCAGACTTCTGATATCCCCAGCACTCCCAATACCTTCTCCAGTACCCCTGGGATCCCCAGCACCCCAGGCAAGTCCCTTATGTTTGGTACCCCTGACACCCCTTTCCTCTTAGCCACACCTAGCAGCCCTGTTACTATCCCCAGCATCCCAGTATCCCTAGCATCCCAGTTCTTCTGATTCCCCTGGCAATTCTAGCACTCCCAGTGCTCCCTTGGACGATCCTGAGTGCCCAGGGGAACCTGGTCTCCTGGCATCCCCAGTACTCATGGTCCTCTTGAGACACCCAGCACCCCGGGACCCCCAGCACTCCGGATGTCACAGCTCCCACCATCACCTTCTCAGCGATGGCATGGCCCACGGTGCGGGACAGCAGGAGGCAGCACACGGCAGAGGCCAGGATATGCAGGAGCGTGTAGAGGATACGCGTGCTCGTGGACACGCGGAGCCCGTGACAACCGCGGCATAGCTGCAGGGGGCACGGTCAGCAGGGATCCCAGAGGGCCAGCGCTTCCCCCCAGCCTGCCCCG